TCTTTTTTTACTCTGTTTATAGCTATGAGCTTCGATATTATTCCTGAACGACTTCTTCAGACCTTTAGTGTTTCCACACCTGTTGCTGAGTCTAGTCTAGCAGAAAGAGATTATCGTCAATTTACCATATGTGTCGATCCTAAGGACACCATGGCTGACTTAGTTAAGTTAGACATTATGGACTTTGATGTTGTTCTAGGTATGGACCGGCCTCATGCCTGTAATGTCTCAGTTTATTGTAGAACTCGAGTAGTCATATTTTAGTTTCCTAATGATCCTATCTTTGAGTGGAGGAGTGTTCAGTAGTGCCTGAGGGTCGTTTCATTTCGTACCTTAAGGCCAGAAATTTAATCAAAGGGGTGCATCTATTACTTAGTACGAGTTAATGACCCTAGTTTCTAGACACCACCTATTCAGTCAGTTTCAGTTGTGAGTGAGTTTTGAGAGGTGTTTCTAGATGATCATTCCAGAGTCCCTCCTGAGAGAGAAATAGACTTCGACATAGACATTCTTCCTGATAATCGACCTATCTCTATTTCTCCATATTGAATGACTCCGACTGAGTTAAAAGATCAATTAAAAGATCTTCTTGATAAATGTTTCATTCAACTAGTGTCTCACCTTGGGACGCTCCGGTCTTATTTGTGTGGAAGAAAGATGGTTCTCTTAGGATGTGTATCGATTACTACAAGTTGAACAAGGTCACCATAAAGAATAAGTATCCCTTTCTGTGAATTGATGATATTTTTTATCAATTTCAGGGTGCCACTTGCTTCTATAAGGTACGACCTCAGATATAACTATTGTTAGTTGAGAGTAAGAGAAGGTTACATCCCGAAGACATCATCCAGGTCCTGTTATGGTCATTATGAATTTCTTGTTATATCTTTTGGCTTGACTAATGCTCATGTAGCGTTCATGGATCTTATGAATAGAATTTTTAAGCCATATCTCATCATGTTTTTTATAATATTTATTCATGACATACTTATTTATTTGAGGAGTGGGGAGGATCATAGTAGTCATCTTAGAATATTCTTCCAAAATCTCAAAGATAGAGAGTTGTATGCTAAAGTTTCAAGTGTGAGTTTTTTCTTGAGTTTCTGGCGTTCTTAGGCCACATTGTATCTAGAGAAGGAATTCGACTTTACACTCAAGATATTAAAGCAGTGCAGAACTAGACAAAACCCATATCTCCAACTGACATAAGGAGTTTCTTGAGGCTGGCTTGTTACTATAATACGTTTGTCGAGGGGTTTTCATGCGCTTCTTCCCCATTGACGAAGTTGACTCAGAAAATAGTTAAGTTTTAATGGTTTGATGCATGTGATAAAAGCTTTCAGTAATTGAAAACCCAGTTAACTAGTTCCACAGTATTGACCCTACCGGAGGTACAAAAGGCTTTGTGGTTTATTCTGATGTGTCCAGAGTTGGACTAGGTTGTATATTGATGCAGAATGGTAAGGTTATAGACTATTCATCCAAACAACTCTAGATTCACGAGAAGAATTACCCGACTCATGATCTCGAGTGGGCAGCAACAATGTTTGCTCTAAACAATGGTGGGTACCTACAGTCCGTCGATGGAACAATGGTCCATGGGTCCTCTCCGTAGGTCAGAGTACCCCAAATTAGGTTTCTGATGTGGGAACAACGGATGTGCAGAATGGTCTGTCGAAGGAATGACGGACAGTAGTCCACACCATGTTTCAACACTTGTATAAAATTTGTGTGCAACTAACCCATAGAGCCCGACCTATGGTCTGTAGGGTGACCCACGGTCTGTGGATAGGAGTTGTGGGTCAGTTCTCTGACAGGTTTCGGACATTGACTCACACTTCATACCTTATTTCAATAATTACACAATCAAACTAGGCCTACACATGCATTTCGATATATTTTTTTGTAGTTCATCATCCTTAGGGTTGTAATTAGTCAATTTTATTCACATTTACAAACAACCATTTAACAACCCTAAGTCAAAACTTCTAATTTTTACCCATTGAACAATTTATGTGAATTTAATCTATAACAAACTCACATACTATCATTCCAAGGGTGTTTCTAACTACATTTCAACATTTAAATTGGAGATTAACAACCTGAGGTCAAGTTCCAACTTCCGAATTTCATAGTTTAGACAATGAACACTAATCTCAAAGTTAGGATGAAATAGTTTACCTTACAAGTAATGTAGTGGGTAACTGTGTTAGTGCAATAAACTCTTTGAACCTCTTTGCTGGCCTTTGATCAGTCGATCAATTGGACTCATTTAGGGCTTTATTTTGATAGAAATAGTGCCCTCAAATGCTTACTTTGTCTCAATATCTGATAAACACTCTTAAGTTTCAGGTATTTGAAGTTTTTGTGGAAACATGGACACTTAGGCGCAAAAAGGAACAAAAAGGCTGAAAGGAACGAAGAATCTGAAGCCTGAGCATCGCCAAGCACACTTGGCGATTCGATGAAGGGATGCACTCCGCCCTTTGTTCCAGTACGCGAAGCCCTGAAGGAGAATGATAAAAAAGGCGATGAAATGAGCAATTAACGCTTCGCCAAATAGTTCCGCGAAGCAGTACTATACCGCCCAATGGTCCAAAACGTGAAGATGCTGAAGGCAAGCACGAAACCAGGATGAAAAAGAAGACGGGCGAGTCACCGAGTCATTCTGCGACATCGACTAACCTCGCCAAGCGATCCACCATCACTAATTTCTGAAGTCTATAAATACTAAACTCTTTATTAATTTTTGAGAGTCGATTTATTATTATAATTTTCAGAATAGAATAGTACTTTTTGGGATATTTTTCTCTCAAGTTTGGAGAGTGTTTGTGGGAGACTTTAAGAAAGAAGGATTTCATCTTCCCCAAGTTGGAAGTGGGTATTCTCCTTTCTTATTCCTTTGCTTAAATCAAGGTTTAATTCCTTTACCCATTTGATTTATTAGCATTTTAGGTGTATTTTGTTATTTCTTGATGTTTGGCTAAAAATCCCCATTCTTGGGGTGTGATTTAGAAAATGTGTGTTGATATTGTTGTTGGGTCTTGCTTGCTGATAGGATAGATGTATTTTAATGGTGATTTCACCTAGTGGTTGTGGCTTAATTTAATGGGTTTGTAGTTGCAAATACAAAACCACCCATGTGTTTTCGGCTTGCCCGAGAGGGAGGTCGCGAAACCGAGACCACTAGACTGATGGCCTAAGGAGTGGGTTGACATGAGGTTCAGTCCGAGAGGGTGAGCCCTAGTCCCATATCGTAACACTCAGCTCGATAGAGTGAGTGGGATAAGGCGTAGGTTGGCCTTCATGCGGAAAATGGATGTCCAAGAAGAAATCATTTTAAACGGGGTAAGTTGCTCGAGAAGGAACTTATTTCAATCTAAAGCTTAGCCTAGTCACTATTATCTGGAAAAATTCCTATGGAAAACATGTACCCAACTATTTATCTCAACTTGTATTGCGGTCAAACCCCAAGAACTTTTCCCAATACTTGATTTAATTCTTTTTTTTGTTGTTTTACTACTTGTGACAAAACCCCCAATTGATATTTCACACTTTTCTGTCACCCCCTTTAATTTACTATGTTTTTACTCGTTAATGTCTTTAGCTACGACTAATTAGAGCTAAATTTTATTTTTCTATTAAATCTCAAAATCACTCCCTTGGGACACGACCCCAACCTTTAGTTGGGTTACTATATTATCGATGATCGTAGACACTTATACCATAGGTTAGTGTCGTTGGTCACGATAAGCATCAAAATGATGCCGCTGCCGGGGAGTGGTGTTTTTTGGGAATTCTTAGTTAATTAGAATTCTTGGTTTTTCTTAGTTATAACTTTACTAATCTTAGTTGTAGTTTTGTTTTGCTTGTGTGAAGACCAACGCAGAGAAACAAAAATGGATGAGCACTATGGATATCACATAGATCATCCTCTTTTGAAACTATTTAACCTAAGGGATAACCTACTGACGTTCAAACAGGCAAGAGAGGAGACAATTCTGGATTTGTGGCTGAGATTCAAAGATATTTTGCAAACATGCCCATCTCATGGAATGCCTGATAAGACAATGCTGGATTGCTTCTATCGGGGTCTCGAACCCGAAATAGAAGCATAGTTGAGCACCTTTTTGAAGGTGGAATGGTAAACAAACCCTATGAAGTCGTTGCAACACTACTTGTTAAAATGGTTGAAACCAACAAAGAAGCCTAAAAGAAATATGAATGGGATAAACTAGTGGCGCAAGTAGATGTTCTATCCAAATGGGTGACGGGATTGGAAGAGCAAGCCAGGGAAAAGGAAAAGAACTTCTCCCTTTGAGAGTGCAAACAAGGAAATAGGCATGAGGGTGTGCAAAGTAACAATACCTCCTCACTCATCCAACAAAAACTTGATGAGCATGACAAGAAACTGAATGACATGAAGGACAACATTGATATGCTAAACGAAGTAACTACTACGAACTCCATGACCATTTAGCTGCAGGATGCTCATCACACCCATTTTATGACGGGTCACTATCCTCCATTCGCCAAAGATTCACCTAATTACACCATGGGTGATTTTGAGGACGAATAGTAGTCTTTGACATACGTCGTGCTGTGACATTAACTCAGGCACTGTTTGGGAGGCAATCCAAAACCCCATATTACCTTATATTTGCATACTAGTAAAATAATAGTGTTTTAGTCTTGAAGATTGAAGTGTGGTAGGTGCCTAAGAGGTGCAGAATGGCAAGCAGCAGACCCAGTTGGTAAATCGTCGAAGACACCGATGATCAATGCTATTTCTCCATTTGACTCAGGTAACCCTCTGAGCCTCTAGTCTGTAAAACTCGGCGAGCTCAGGAAGGTTTTGGCAATTCACCCACCTGATAAGCGTCCCCGATGATCACCGTCGTTCGAACATCTACAATTGCTAAGAAGTTCTGTAAAACTCAGATAAACTTCATATGCCCTCTATCCATATCGACTAAGGCACACCCAGTAGCAAGGAATGGTCACTCTAAAATGATGGGAACATCAAAATCAACCTCACAATCAAGTATCACAAAAACCGTTGGAAAAATGAACGACTCCACTTTCACAAGGACATCTTGGAGAACACCAATGGGCTTCTTCACAATTCTATCGGCTATGAGTAGACGCATCGCAGTCGATTTTGGAGCCCCTGAACCCAACTTCTTGTATAGATACAATGGCATCAAATTAATGCTGACACCCAAATTACACAACACCTTCACAAAATGCAACATCCCAATAGTACAAGGAATAGTGAAAGCTCCAGGATCCTCTTTATTTTGCACTAATGACCGCATATCGATAGCACTACAATGTTGTAACCTTGCATCATCCTCAAAACTGACAGCCCTCTTTTTGGTGACCAAATCCTTCATAAACTTGCATACCCACGCATTGGCTCCAAAGCTTTTATCAACGGAACATTGATGGAAAGCTGTTTCAACATAGTTATTAACCTGCGGTATTTTCCTTTTTCGGTCTTCTTCACCAATATCTGTGGGAATAGAGATGGAGGTCTAGGGATGGGAACAACCGTTTTGGTTACCTCCACTTCCTTCTCTGTAGCATTTTTAGACTCTCCACTAACCTTAATCTCATCTTCATATCTTTCTACCACAATTTCAACCTCAGACGGCATAGGGGGATCAATGGTCTGCTTACCTTCTCGAGTAGTGACTTCCATACAATGGCAATCATTTTTTTGATTTTATATAGTGCTGCTAGGAAGTGTTCCAGGCTGACGTGGGTTCACAGTAGAGGACAACTGATTAAACTGCTGCTCAAGTTGCTTTATCGACACTACATGTGCATTAACTTGTTGATCGATTCCAGACAACTCATTTCGCATCTCTTTCACATTCTAATCAGTCGCATCAAACCTCTTCATCATCTTCTGCATCATATCCTCAATGCGTTACATACTACCCCCAACCACTCTACTGCTAGATTCCTTATTCCTAAGTGGAACATAGGGCCCAACTCTCTCATTTCTATTGCCATAGTTGTTCCAGTTGTAGTTGTTATCATTGTTGTAGTTCCCATCCCGGACATAGTTTCCCTCTCGATTGTAGTTTTTGAAGTTCCGACCTTGGTTTCCTTGACCTTGTCTCCAATTATCCGAGTTGGAACCTTGGATGTTAGCTCGGAAACCCCCCGTCTGATCATTTACCAAATACGTATCATTCTCATAGTAGCATTCCTCAACTGGTGGTGCTGGAGTTCTACTTATGTAATTTATCGCATTCACCTTTTCTGCATTTCAACTAACATGCTTCAATACCAACCCAAGTTTTGTCCTCATCTGATCAATCTCCTCATGAATGTCATCATTAGATTGATCTAGTGAAGCTTGAACAATGAATGTGCTTCTTCCAATATTGGGTTTTCTAGTGCTCTATGCCTTATTATTCTGGGAAATCTCCTCTAATTTTTCAGCGATCTTCTCGAAAGTGCATTCACCATAGGATCCTCCAGCAACAGTATCTAGCACAGCCTTTCCATTGTCATCCTGCCCTCTGTAGAATACTCATTGAATGACTCGTCATCTATACTGTGATTCGGAACACTTCTGATGAACGCACTGAACCTATCCCATAAACTGCTCACAAACTCTCCAGGTAGTGCCATGAAATTATTCAACTTGTCCTTGTGGTTTAGCTTCTTAGACACTGGTAAATACTTTGCAATGAACACTCGATGCAATTGGTCCCATATATGAATTGAATTATATGGAAGCTCAACAAACCGTCCCGCAACATCACCGGTCAATTACAGAGGGAAGACTCTTAAACCTATGAAATCCATATCCAATTTCGGTCGTCCCACACAAATCTTGCAGACACTTTTCAATTTAGCCATGTGACCATATGGATCTTCCGACACTAGACCAGAAAACAACTCTTATGTTGTCAGTAGTTGCATCAGACTGCTGGTTACCACAAATGTATGCCCTGGAGGTATAGGAGGAAGAACAATGGGCCCTTCTAATTCAACTATATTGAAGTCAACCCTGAAGGTATCACGCTACCTCGGAGCTGGCGGATTCTGCATCCTTTCTAAATCTCCGATTAGATTAACACCATGAACCTGAGCGTGCACATTAACAATTCCAGGAAGCTGCAAATGAACTCCATCACCTAGATTCTCTCTGATTGGATTGATTTGGACCCCTTGATTAATCATTTTTCTCAAAGTTTTGCTCAACTCGAGATCGTAGGGGTCAATGGTTTGCCTCAACTCCGTTTACTTGGCATACACTAGAGTAGAAACCTATAGAAAACAAAAACAAAAGAAAACGTAAATTCAGGAAATACTTGACTAAAGTTCAATAAAGTACTTAAACTTAATCTAAAATCAAAATCCCCGGCAGCAATGCCAAAATTTGATACGCTGAAATTACACCTTCTTAAAGAAGTATAAGCGATCGTTGTCAAATAAAGAACCCAACTTGTAGGTTGAGGTCGATCCCATGAGGAATATGGTTTAGACTTAAACTTAACCCACTATAATATCCATTTAGTCAAACTAGTTCCGAAACAAGTAAATAAAGGGGGGGGGGTTGTTGTAAGCAAGTAACAATTTGTTGATTTAGTAACAAGCAACCAAGATTCAACTTTTAGTTATCAATATGAGAAAGAAACTACGGTGTATTGTTCCCATAAGCTCTTAACACAGTAATCCTAATAATAGTAATCATTTCTTAGTGTTTTACATGCAAAGTTGATAAGTTAGGTATCCCTAAATGATTGGTCCTCTAAATATGGAATTGCACTATGCACCTTGGTGTTGCTACGAGTGTATACTTTACTAACCCTTACCTTGACCTCATATTAGACATCACATCAACGTATGACTTAGTTTTCACCCTCGCACCAATTGACATTAGACTATTAGATAGCAGCCACTAAATCTCTGTTGTTAATTCTTTTCTTATTAGCTACCTCCTTTGTTCAGCAAGTAGCAATGAGGCTAGTTCTAACATTGCGCACCATTAAAAAGACTTCTAAATGAAAGAATTAACAATATATGCATAAACACTATCCAAGAATTACTTAATTATTATTCATACTTTGTTGATTGCTCATAGCTCCCATAACCCTAGTTGTGGATTTAGCTACTCATGCTTGAAAGAACACAATTCATAGTTTGATAAAAAGAATTCATGAACTTACAAGTAGAATTGATGAAACCCGAAATCTCCAATTGAATTTCAAAGTGAAAATCTTTTAAAACAAAATCCGAAAATCAAATTGCTAAAGTTTGCAAGTTAATTAAAAAAAAACACCAAGAAATAAAAGTATACAATAATGTCTAACCCCCAAAAACGAGATTTATATCCCCTATTTATAGAAAACAAGTCTTAAGTAAAAAGGAAACCAAATAAGGAAATAAGTTGTCTTTACACGATTTCTGTCGACGACACAACCTACGGACTGTGGGTCGACCTATGGTACGCAAGTCACCCTCTGTAGTTCAACACTTAGAAACTTTTCATAAGGTACTAGAACCTTCACTCGCAGATCATCAATATGACAGACGTGCAGGATGGACCGTGGGTCGACCTACGATCCATTGTCTTGCACTGTGGTTCAACACTTGTCAGACTTCCCTGATGGTCCAACTACGATACACCATCTACGGTTAGTGGACTGGGCTATGGTCCATCCCGGCACTCTATGGTTTGAGTTACTCAAACTCATCTCCCAGTCCAAGACCTACAACTGCCCATCCACGGTTCGTCGATGGACCTACGGTCCGTGGATAGCACCATCAGTGGCTACTTCAACACTTTAAAGCTCCAAATCTTCATCAACTGCTTCCAAGCCTATTTCCTGCAAACATAATACAAAACACATTATTTCTAATACAATATAGCCCTAGACATAAACAAATTCTAAGTGAAATGCATCAAAAATATCGTAAACTCACGGTATATCAATGGGTGGAGAGACTTTGATCTTCAAATCCTCGTGGTTCCTCGTATAAAATTCTTCCTCAAGGCGTCCTTTTAAGATGAATTATTGGCATTAATCTAATAGATTGGCCAGTTGTACTGCGAACAATAACTTGTTTGACTATTGGACTGAAGGTGGAATGAAATGCTAAGCCTGGATGTTGGTAAATCCCTTTGCAACAAGACGAGGTTTATACCTGTCAATGGAACCATCAGATTAATCCTTTATACAAAATAACCACTTGTAGTACACCACATTAATCAAATGAGCAACTGGAACAAAATCCCATGTCCAATTCCTAAAAAGTGCATTAAATTCAGCTTGCATGGCTTCTCTTTAGTGAGGGTAAGGATATGCTTGTTTGTATGTATGAGCAACAAAGGACGAGGAAAGTTGAACACAGACACTAAACTGCTTGGTTTTGAAGCTTTTTATTTTGAGTGTGTGATAAAGGGATGACTTGAAGTGGTCACCACGGGTGAAGGACCATATGGGTTCAAAGAAAGTGTAGGCTGGGAAGGGTTATCGTCATATGACCAAGAAAGAAGGTGTAACACCTCAAAATTCTATCAGTTTTGGGTCAACTTCAAACGACCATATATTTTAGCACATAAAGCTTTAGGTGGCCCATGAGTTATCAAATTGAAGGTCTTTGAGTCCCATTTCAAACATCTCTGGGTTTTCTAAATTGTGAGCTCCGAGTAAAAAGTTATGGTTTGTTTGAGTAAAACCTCTCTAACTAAGGCTTTTCATCCATTTAAGGTAAGGGGTGTTTTGGTCTTTTCCTTACCCCACTATACCTAAAACGCTTTTCACAACCAGTTTAAGGGTCTAATTTGAATTAGACAACTTTTTAATATTCATAAATGCTTAGGGATTTTAGACAAGTTTCAAGAGGAGAAAAGAGAAGGGTCAAGCATTCTTTCAAGAATGGTGGATTTCGTCAATAACAAGTATTATTTCGAGGTATGTAAGCTTCACATAGTGTTGGGTTTGTTCGCCCTCATGCCAATCATGTAATTTCGTTCATGAATTCATCCATGAGATTGTTTATATTGAAATTATTTAGAAGTTCTTAAGTTTTAGCCCCATTCTTTAGCAATGGAGGTTTTGAGTTCTTGGGGTGAGGGTCTTGAGAATGAGTGATGTTTCTTGATAGATTTTGAGTGGGATTTTGTTTAATTTGTGTTGGGTTTATGAATCCAAGAGAGTTTGGAGGAATTCATTTGATTCAAGATGAGTTAGGACTTGAAATTGAGCAAGAAAATTCATCAGTTTCTAAGAAGAGGGATGGGGTGCACGTAGTTCATAGAGCCCAAACTAATGATCAGTAGTTTCAAGCCTGGCGCACCATGCCAGCAATGCACCTGAAACACTGCCCAGAAGTTTGGGGGCTGGCACACCACCCCACTTAGAAGGCCAGGGTTGCCAGGTCTCTTACCCTTCCTCTCTTCGTTCTGTGTATGTTCCCTCGAATCATACATATGTTATCTTTTTTATATTCACTCTAAAAGGGTTCATTAATCCTTGAGAGATCATGCATATCCTAATAACAATTCATAATTTACATCTTATAATTAAAGTAAATTTAAGAGAAAAGTTCAGGAGGACCTTTTTAGTCAAAGTTGAGAACCCTTTTGAAATTAACTAAAGATTTGAACTAAGTCTTGAGTAAATAAGTATGAGGATTAAAAGAGTTGAATTTCATTTTTAAAATGAGTATAAGGAA